TCGCGCCACGCGTCGCCTTTAAGCCGCTTTTCTGCCGGCGGACAAGGGCCGCGCCTTAAAGCGGGTCAGAGGGCCCCGCCCTTACCGCGCGCCTTAAAGGGGAGGAGCTCGGCTGAGGAGAAGTCGGCAGCAGAGACTACTTCCTGGGCCCCGCCTTTAAGGAGTCAAAGTGCGGTTTACCCTCCGACAGCATCAGCCCTCCAGTCTATGATGACGTCACCTGTTGGCTCGCCCACGCCCCGCCCATTTCCCCGCCCCACTGTCTGCCTTAAAGGCACAGAGCGCTGAGCACACCGGAACTCTGTGCCTCTAAATCGTGCCCTCCTTCCAGGGCCCTGCTCCCGCAGGGACCTCCTCCTGAGGACACTTCCAAGTTCAAGACCCGGGCGGTGCCACTAGGGCGACCTGGCTAGCTAGGACTCGAGGAGGGACCTAAAAGATCTGAGCTTCGGTGCCCTCATCTGTAACTTTCGGCGGTTCCCACCTAACCGGGATGTCCTGCCAGGTCCTTGGACCTTACTGAAGACTCTGGCATCCCCGGACCTGCTTCAGATCCAGCCCCTGCCGATTCCAGGAACCACTAGGGCCAGATTATTTCGCAATATTCTAATGTTGTATTTCCAAACGATCATGTTTCTCTCTTTCTTAAAAATAAAGTTTTGGGACCAGCAGTTGGCGTAATGGCTATGTCGCTGGACTCCCGTGTAGTCGCCCGCGGGTCACGTCCTGGACCCGGTGGCTTAAACTCACGCTGGGCGCGTGTGCGTGCGTGCCCAAGATCCCGAGAGGAGAATGGAGGAGAAAGAATTGAGGCGTGGCCATCCCCCCTGGGGGGTGATTTCTCTCTTTCTGTCTCTCTGTCTCTCTCTTTCTGGCGAGCGCATGTACCCTATAGCAAAAACCTCTCCAAAAAAATAAATAAATAAATAAGAAAAGGTCTTAAAGGACCCGGCAGCTGGTGTGGTGTTTAAGGTGTTTGAACTCCAACATGATCCACTGCAGTTCAAATCCTGCACCCAGCGGATTGAAACTCACTCCAGGCGGGGCCAGCAGGTGGCGTGGTGGTTAAGGGCGCTGGACTCTCACATAGCTCACCATAGTTCAAGTCCTGGACCTTCCAGCTTGCTCTCTCACTTTCTCACTCTCTGTCCCCAAAATGCACATCATAGCCTGTCCTGGGTAAAACGAAGACAGCTAGAGGAAGCTGGGGAAAAATCTGGAAAGATCAGAAGTATCTCGTTCCTTTGGGAGAGGCTGAGAAGCCCATGATATGGGGGGAACCAGCAGTTAGCGTAATGGCTATGTCGCTGGACTCCCACGACTCCTGTGTAGTCGAACGCAGTTCGCGTCCCGGACCCAGTGGCTTAAAACTCACGCCGCGCATGTGTGTGCGTCCCCAAGATCCCGAGAGAAGGGATTGCAGCGTGGCCATCCCCCCTGGGGGATGATTCTCGCTTTCTGTCTCTCTGTCTCTCTCTGTCTGGCGAGCACACGCGCCCTATAGCGAAAATCTCTCCCAAAAAAAAGAAGCCCATGATATGGGGACAGCGGGTGGTATAGTGGTTAAAGATGCTAGATTCCCACATGGCTGACCGCAGTTCGAGTCCCAGACCTGGCAACTTGCTTTCTCCTTTTCCCCTTTCTCTCTCTGGTCAAATTAAAAGATAATAACAAATAGAATTAAATCAATACATAATTAGGGGGGAGCAGAAATGTCCAGGACAGAATGGGAAGACACATTTCTACGGAGTATGTCCCTCTGAAAGCTGAACCGAGAATCACACGGGGGAAATCCCTCCGGAACTCATTCCGGAAGCAGCTGGAAAGCTTACGACAGTGGAGAACCTGCCAACCTCCAGCAAACAGATGGCTTTTCTGGCAGGCAGGAGGAAGTCTGGAGGAGTTTCTTTCTCGGCTGGGAAACTTGATACTGAGTTCAGATTTAATGCTGCTACACAAACCCCAAAGGCAAACAGCAAGCTGACAAAAATAGAATCTGTAATCTGTTACGGTGAAATGTTAATATCCTTAATATGCAGAACGATTGGATTTCAATAAGAAAAAGATAAACACCCCAAAGAGAAAAGTAGGAGAAAAAAAATCCACGACCAAACAATTCATTTATTCACAGGGACCAGCAAATGGCATAGCAGTTACATTGCTGGACTCCCACATAGCCAACTGTGGTTCGAGTCCCAGACCCAGTGGCTTGAAAATCACTCTCCACTCTTGCCCCGTCACTGAACCCACGTTCGTGGGGAAACCTGGTGCTAAACTATTCGTAGACGACCTGCTTCTGGGTCAGGGTTTCCTGCATAGCAGAGCAGCTTCCTCGCTGCGATCTATTGAGAGTCAGCCCTCGACACAAGGGTTTGTTTTTTATTTTTTTTTAGAAGAAAAAAGAACAGAAAAAGAAAGAAAGAAAAAAAAGAAAAGAAAAGAAAAGAAAAGAAAATCACTCTCTGGGTGCATGTGCGTGCGTGCCCAAGATCCTGGGAGGAGAATGGAGAAGGGATTGCGGTGTGGCCATCCCCTGGGAGGTGGGTGGTGATTTCTTGCTTTCTATCTCTCTTTCCAGTGAGCACATACAGCCTATAGCAAAAATCTCTCTTAAAAAAGCAAAACAAGGGGATCAGCAAGTGGCGTGGTGGTTAGGGTGCTGGACACTCCCACATGACCAACCACGGTTCAAGTCCTGGACCTGGAGGCATGCTTTCTCACCCTCCCTTTCTCTCTCTCTGTGTGTCTCTCTCTGGTAAAATTAAGATGAAATAAATTAGTAAATAAAATTAAATAATTCTTTAAATAAAAATTAAAATTAAAAAAAAGCAAAACGAGGGGACCAGCAGGTGGCATGGTGGTTCAGGAGCTGGACACTCCCACATGGCCAACCACAGTTCAAGTCCTGGACCTGGTGGCTTGCTTTCTCATTTTCTCTCTCTATAGCTCTCCCTCTCTCTCTGTGTGTCTCTCTCTGATCAAATTAAAATAAATGAATGGATAGAGTTAAATAAAATAATTCTTTTAAAAAAGGGTAAAACAGGGGCCAGGAGTTAGCGTAATAGCTATGTCGCTGGACTCCCATGTAGTCGACCGCGGTTTGAGTCCCGGACCCTGGTGGCTTAAAAACTCACGCCAGGCGCTTGTGCGTGCGTGCCCAAGATCCCGAGAGGAGAATGGAGGAGAAGGGATTGCGGCGTGGCCATCCCCCCTGGGGGGTGATTTCTCGCTTTCTGTCTCTCTGTCTCTCTCTGTCTTTCTGGCACACGCCCTATAGCAAAAACCTCTCCAAAAAATAAATAAATAGATAGAAAAAGAAAGAGAGAGAGAGAGAGAGAAAGAAAGAAGAAAATCACAACAGAGAGTGTGCCCCACGTCCCAGGAGCATAGAGGAGAAGGGATTCGCAGCGTGGCCACCTGCCCTTCTCACTCACCTCTCTGTCTCTGCTTCATGGCAAAAAACTAAAACAAAAACGGTCAGATGTGTGTGTCCGTAGCTATCAAATTCACAGAGCCCCCAGACACCCTGGCACAGGCTGTCAGACCCCACTGCCCAAGACGGGAGCTGTAAGAGGAGCCCTCCAGGTTCTCATCCCGACGGGAGCTGTAAGAGGAGCTCTCCAGGTTCTGATCCCAGGCTGACCTAACTGGGCCGGGTGTAACAGCTCACGCCGGAAATCCTAGCTAATTGGGACGGAGGATTGCAACGAGACCTTGTCGAAATAGGAGGGCACTTTAGGAAGTTCATGAACAGGGACTGGCAGGCGGTGTGGTGGTTAAGGCACTGGAATCCCAACTGGCTGGCTGCAGTTCGAATCCTGGAGCTGGCACCTTGAAAATCACACCAGGTGCGTGTGCGTGCGTGCCCCAAATCCCAGAAGGAGAATGGAGGAGAAGGGACTGCCGCGTGATCATCCACCCTGGGGAGTGATTTCTTGCTTTCTGTCTCTCCGTCTCTCTGGTGTGCATACATTTGTCCTATAGCAAATATCTCTCAAAAAAAAAATGTTTAGGGAAGCAGCAGTTGGCGTAATGGCTATGTCGCTGGACTCCCACGTAGTCGACCACGGTTTGTGTCTCGGACCCGGTGGCTTAAAACTCACGCCGGGCGCGTGTGCGTGCGTGCCCAAGATCCTGAGAGGAGAATGGAGGAGAAGGGATTGCGGCGTGACCATCCCCCCCTGGCGGGTGATTTCTCGCTTTCTGTCTCTATGTCTCTCTCTGTCTGTCTGGCGAGTGTACGCGCCCTACAGTGAAAATCTCTCCAAAAAAAAAAAAATGTTTATGAACAAATGGAATTAAAATACAAGTTTAGGGCTGAGTCGATGGCAGAGGGTAACGTTCTATTGAAGTAAAATTGGATTGACATGGAAGATTATGTGTTCGATTCCCCGGGGGCCATGTTCATACCAGGCTCATAATTTTGGTGGGCTTAGAGGACTAGCAGGCCAGGAGTCACGGAGTAAAACACTATCAAGAATTCTTGTCTTCAGGCTGGCAGGTGGCGTGGTGGTTAAGGATATTGGACTCCCATATGGTCGACTGTGGTTTGAGGCCCGGGCCTGGTGGCTTGCTTTCTCACTTTCTCTCTCTCTAGCTCTCCCTCTCTCTCTCTGTGTCTCTCTCTGGTCAAATTAACAAAAATGAATGAATAAAGTTAAATAAAATAATTCTTTTTTAATTATTATTTTAGTTTATTTATTTACTTATTTATTTTGACCAGAGTGACAGAGAGAGAGAGAGATAGAGAAAGTGAGAAAGCAAGCCGCCAGGTCCGGGACTCAAACCGTAGTCAGTCACATAGGAGTCCAGCACCCTCAACCATCACACCACCTGCCAGCCCCAATAAAATAATTCTTTAAAAAAAAAATAATTCTTGGGACCAGCAGTTGGCGTAATGGCTATGTCACTGGACTCCCATGTAGTCGACTGTGGTTTGAGTCCCGGACCCGGTGGCTTAAAACTCACGCCGGGCGCGTGTGCGTGTGTGCCCAAGATCCCGAGAGGAGAATGGAGGAGAAGGGATTGCGGCGTGGCCATCCCCCCTGGGGGGTGATTTCTCACTTTCTGTCTCTCTGTCTCTCTTCGTCTCTCTGGCGAATGCGCACACCCTATAGCAAAAATCTTGCTCTCTAAAATAGTAACTTTTTTTTGGAGGCAGGGGAGTTACAGAAGCCTAGAAATGGAGCAAACAACTTGGTCCAGATATTTTACTTGTCGATATTTAACCAGTGGAAACAAGGATGGATGTGGATGAAGATTTATTTCTGGAATGTTCCTTGAAGAGGTTGGATCTGGATGCCAGAGCTGGGCGCTCTGGGGCAAGTCCCTCCTTGTCTTTGAACCTCTGGTTACACATCTGTAAAATAGAAAGTATCATGGGGATGCCAAGCACATAGATTTTGTGACAAAATTAAACACCCGAGAACCAGCAGTTAGCATAATGGCTATGTCGTTGGACTCCCACGTAGTCAACCGCGGTTCGCGTCCCGGACCCGGTGGCTTAAACTCAAGCCGGGCGCGTGTGCATGCGTGCCCAAAATCCCGAGAGGAGAATGGAGGAGAAGGGATTGCGGCGTGGCCATCCCCCCTGGGGGGTGATTTCTCGCTTTCTGTCTCTCTGTCTCTCTCTATCTGTCTGGCGAGCACATGTGCCCTATAGCTAAAAAAACTCTCCAAAATTAAACGCCCAATAAATGGAGACTTAGCAACAAAAACGTAATGCCAGCAGGTGGCATAGCGGTTAAGGCACTAGACTCCCATGTGCTTGACCAGGGTTCGAGTCCTGGACCTGATGGCTCGAAACTCACACCAGGAGATTGACCTTCACACTGGAAGGAGCCAGTAGGTGGTGTGGTGGTTAAGGTGCTGGACTCCCACATGGCCAATCATGTTTGAGTCCCAGACCTGGTGGCTTGCTTTCTCACTTTCCCTCTCTCTCTGTCTCGTTTCTCTCTGGTCAAATTAAAGATAATCATGATAATAAAAAATAAATAAAATAAATCATTCTTTTAAAAAATGAAAAGGAGGCCACCAGGTGGCGTGATGGTTAAGGTGCTGGACACTCCCACATGGTCGACCATGGTTCGAGTCCTGGACCTGGAGGCTTGCTTTCTCACTTTCTTTCTTTCTCTCTCTATGTCTTTCTGGTCAAATTAAAGTAAATGAATGAATAAATAAAATTAAATAAATAATTATTTCTTTTTCTTTTTTGAGAGGCTTTTGCTAGAGGGCATGCGCGCTCGCCAGAAAAACAGAGAGAGACAGAGAGACAGAAAGTGAGAAATCACCCCCCAACCTGGGGGGATGGCCACACCACAATCCCTTCTCCCTTCTCCTCCTTTCTGCTCTTGGGATCTTGGGCATGCATGCACACGTGCCCAGCGTGGGTTTAAGCCACTGGGTTCAGGACTCAAACCGCGGTCAACTGCATGGGAGTCCAGCAACATAGCCATTATGCCAACTGCAGGTCCCTAAATAAATAATTCTTAAAAAAAAAAAAAAAAGATACAGTGTTCCGAATTTGGCATGAGAATTGGGACACAAATTCATTACAATTCCAGGTCCCAATGGTTAAACCCATGTGCATGTCAGTGCTTGAACTTAAAGGGTTCTCCTGTGATTCAAACACACTCTATGGCTCCCTATTACTCTTGTCCACCTCTAGCTCAGCTAGTCTAGCCAGGCTAGAATAAAGGGACATGCAGTTCCATCCATAGACCCACATTTGGAACAATCTCTGACACTCCATGTAGCCCCGCATCCCAGCCCCCAGCAATCCACTGGCACAGCCTAGGAATCCCAAGGTCCTCACCTGCTCCTTCCTGGTCTCTTGGAGCTTCCGAACAGCCAGCCAGGGTGCGGGGTACATGGTTGGCACCAAGGGTCTTTTTTAATTCTGAAATAAGAGAAAACTCTCTGGTCACACCTAGGGAAATCCAGGCATCAGGGGACCACCCTGTGTTTTCCCAAGAGGGGCTACAAGAGGGCAAAGACTGGAGGCAAATGTCTCAAGCGGGAATTCTAAACCAGTAGCTCACAGCAAGTCTGTCTCCACATTTGCGCCCATGGCAGACATTACTAGCCGATCCCTGCAAACTCCAACAAGGCTGGCCAGCTGCCAGCTCTACCTCACCACATGCTGCTCCAGACAGACATCACAAAACAATTGAGGATGGAACACTATAAAGTCACAGAATATATTCAGGAACAGAAGCTAACTAAGGTCATCTGTTTCTGGATTTAATTTTGCAGTCAGAGACTAGCAGTTTTTCTTTCTTTTTCCTTTCTTCCTTCCTTTCTTTCTTTCTTTCTTTCTTTCTTTCTTTCTTTCTTTCTTTCTTAATTGGAAACTTCTGCTACTCTTAAGGGAACTCAGTTATTCTTGTTCCCTCTGTCTCTCTGGCTTTCTCTTTTGTGATAGCACATGCCTAGCAGCAACGACAACTACAATAAAAAAAAAAAGAAGGAAGAAGAAGAAAAGTGGAGTCAGCAGGTGGCTTGGTGGTTAAGGCACTGGACTCCCACATGGCTGACAGTGGTTTGAGTCCTGGCCCTGGCCATTCTCTCTCTCTTTCTCTCTCTGGTGAGTACATGTGCCCTATAGCAAATTTTAAAATAAGTATAAGAATAAGTAAAAGGAAATGAACGATGATTTTTTAAAAATAAGTAAGAGAAATTTAAAACAAAGAGAGGGGGACAACAGATGGCATAATGGTTAAGACACTGGACCACTGGACTCCCACATGGTCAACCATGGTTTGAGTCCTGGACTTGGCCACTTAAAAAAAGAAAATCACACCAGGGCTGGGTGGGTGCATGGCCAGAATCCAGGGAGGAGAATGGAGGTGATTGAAGCATAGCCAGCCCCCTTTAGGGATAATCTCTCTCTCTCTCTCTCTCTCTCTCTCTCTCTCTCTCTGGCAAGTGCACATACCATATGGCAAAATTTAAGAAAAAGAAGAAGCCTACCCTGTCTGAGAGAACTCTCCTCCATGCCAGCCCAGAGAAAACCAGGGATGGTTGAATGAATAGATGTGAGTGTTGGGACCAGCAGATAGCATAGTGGTTGCATCGCTGGACTCCCACATGGTCAACCACAGTTCACATCCCAGACTTGGCATGTACACACACCAGGCACATGTGTGCGTGCGTGCCCAAGATCCTGAGAGGAGAATGGAGGAGAAGGGATTGCGGCGTGGCCATCCCCCCTGGGGGGTGATTTCTCGCTTTCTGTCTCTCTGTCTGGTGAGTGCACACGCCCTATAGCAAAAACCTCTCAACGCAAAACGTGTGGAACCAGCAGTTACCATAATGGCTATGTTGCTGGACTTCCATGTAGCCGACTGCGGTTCGAGTCCCGGACCCGGTGGCTTAAACTCACGCCGGGTGCATGTGCGTGCGTGCCCAAGATCCTGAGAGGAGAATGGAGGAGAAGGGATTGCGGCGTGGCCATCCCCACTGGGGGGTGATTTCTCGCTTTCTGTCTCTCTGTCTGGTGAGTGCACACGCCCTATAGCAAAAACCTTTCCAAAAACAATAAATAAATTAGATTTAATTTTTAAAAAAGTGAATGCCTAACCCTATTTTTTAAACTCTGCCTCCTTCTCATCCTGAAAACTCCTACACATCCCTCACAGCCTCACTCTGATGACCCCTCTTCCCAATGGCTCCTTCACGGACCCTAGGAGTTTCCCACTCCAGACCCACACTGGCCCAGTCCTGTCCCTGGGTCAAAGGGCAACTCTTCACAGGAACTGAGAGATGACAGGGCACCCTAGGGGGGATTGATACACACGGCCATGGCAGGGCAAAGCTTACCTCCATCGATCCTCTGCAGTAGGACCCCCCGGATGACGTCCTCATAGAGACCCTCGGGGGTGAGGGCCTGGCTGCCCACTGCAAGAACCTCATGTTCTAACTCAGGTAAAGCCTGGAACGGAGAGAGTTAGGGGCTAGGGTGCAGGCAAGGGCCCGGGAGGTCAGGGATATCGGTTCAAGCCCCAGCCTGGACCCTGATTAACTAGGGAGCCCTGAGCCTCAGTTTTATTATCCTTTGGGGTTTTATTCCCCCATGTATGAGAGTAGGGGGCTTTAGACAGGACCCCACTGTCTCACAGTGCCCCCACCTCGGCCTCCCAGGTATCTGGGACCACACGCTCACGCCATCTGGCATTTTAGAATAGCTAGAAATTGGGGCCCACAGGTGGCATGGGGGCTAAGGCGGCTGAACTCCCACATGGCTGACTGTGGTTCAAGTCCCAGACCTGGCAGCTTGCTTTCTCACTTTCCTTCTCTCTTGCTATCTCTCTCTGGTCAACTTCAATAACCTCAAATATAAAATAATGACAATGAATAAAATTAAATTAAAAATAATTCTTAAAAAAAAAAAAAATAGGCCAGGAGACCAGCAGTTGGCATCATGGTGATATTGCTGGACTCCCATGTAGTCGGTCGTGGTTCGAGTCCCAGACCCGGTGGCTTGAAAATCACACCGGGCGCGTGTGCATGCATGCCCAAGATCCCGAGAGGAGAATGGAGGAGAAGGGATTGCAGCGTGGCCATCCCCCCTGGTGGGTGATTTCTCGCTTTCTGTCTCTCTGTCTCTCTCTGTCTTTCTGGCAAGCGCACGCACCCTATAGCAAAAACCTCTCCAAAAAAAAAAAGAAAGAGAGAGAAAAACAAAACTCTAAAAAAGAAAAAAAAAATGGCTCTAACGATGACAGTGACCACACACATAGGGAGCACAGTGCCCGCTTATACAGGGACGCAGACGCTAGGTCCCTCTATAGCCCTAGCCTCATCGCTTTTATCCCCTCTAGAAATTTAATTAATTAATTAATTAATTAATTACTTTGACCTCAGAGAAACAGAGACAGAGAAAGAGGGAGAGTGAGAAAGCAAGCTGCCAGGTCCAGGACTCAAACCACGGTCAGCCATGTGGGAGTCCAGCACCTTAACCACCGCGCCACCTGCTGGCAGCGGTGACTCACCACTTTGGCTCTCGGCTGGAGTTGGCTCTGCAGAAAGGGCAGGAAAATACTGGCCAGCCAGCCCCGGACGAACCTCTTCCGCGCTGAGCCGCCGTCAGACTCGAACTTCTGCAGGACACACGAGCAGCCAGTCCATCCGCCATCAGAGCACCCAGGCCCACCGCCCACTGCCCGTCTCCGCGGGCCTCACCTTCAGCACGCGCCCCCTGACCTTCTCCAGCTGCTGGGCAGCCTGGCCGCAGTCCAGGGCTGACGTCAGACACTGATCGGCCAGCTGCAGGAAGGTGGTCACGGCGTCCGCCATGAGCTGGGGGAGAGAGGGCAGCCTGAGTCCCCGGGCCACGCCCGCCCCACGGATCCCTTCTCCGCATCCAGCCTGCTCGGCGCAGCCATCTCTTCCAACTTCCAGCCCTGTCTTAAGAAATAGCTTCCGGGACCAGCAGCTGGCATAATGGCTATGTCGCTGGACTCCCATGGAGTCGACTACAGTTCGAGTCCCGGATCCGGTGGCTTAAACTCACACCGGGCACGTGTGCGTGCGTGCCCAAGATCCTGAGAGGAGAATGGAGGAGAAGGGATTGCGGCGTGGCCATCCCCCTGGGGGGTGATTTTTCGCTTTCTGTCTCTGTCTCTCTATATATCTCTGGCAAACAGACTTGCCCTAAGGAAAAAAAACTCACACCTAGGGCGTGTGTGTGCATGCTCAAAATCCCAAGAGGAGAATGGAGGAGAAGGGATTGCGGCATGGCCATCCTCCCGGGAGGAGGGGTGTGATTTCTTGCTTTCTGTCTCTCTCTGTTTCTCCAGGGAGGGCACAAAAATCCCTCTTAAAAAAATAAATTAAGGGACCAGCAGTTGGTGTAATGGCTATGTCTCTGGACTCTCATGGAGTCGACTATAGTTCGAGTCCCGGATCCGGAGGCTTAAACTCACGCCGGGCGCGTGTGCATGCGTGCCCAAGATCCCGAGAGGAGAATGGAAGAGAAGGGATTGCGGCGTGGCCATCCCCCCTGGGGGGTGATTTCTCGCTTTCTGTCTCTCTGTCTCTCTCTGTCTTTCCGGTGATAGCATATGCCCTATAGCAGTAACTTCTCCAAAAAAAATTGTTTTTCATAAATAATTCTTTAAAATAAATAAAGAAATAGCTTGGGTCAGCAGGTACATGGTGTGGAAGGTACCGGATCCCACATAACTGACTTCGAGCTTCGAGTACTGGACCAGTGCCTTGAAAACCTTGTATACGTGTCCAAGATCCCAAGAAGACAATAGAGGAGAGGGGACTGCAGTGTGGCCACTCCCCTGGGGGTCACTTCTCACTTCTCCTCTCTCTCTTCCTATTCTGAGTGCACATGCCCCATAGCAAAAACCTGAAAGTAAATAAATAAGAAATAACTTCCCCCTAGGGGCTGGAAGGTGGCGTGGTGGTTAAGGGCACTGGACTCCCACATGGCCAACCACAGTTCGAGTCCTGAACCTGGTAGCTTCCTTTTTCCTTTCTTTCTCTCTCTCTCTCGTCTAATTAAAATAAATAAATAAAAATAATGTGTGTGTGTGTGTGTGTGTGTGTGTGTGTGTGTGTGTGTTTAAAGACTTTAGCTGTAAGGCGCATGTGCTCTCGTAAGAGAGAGAGAAAGACAAAGAGAGAGAAAAAAGGAAGAAATTACCCCCCAGGGGGGATGGCCACATCGCAATTCCTTCTCCATTCTCCTCTTGGGATCTTGGGCACGCACATATAAGTTGCCAGGTCTGGGATTCGAACTGTGGTTGACTACGTGGAAATCCAGCAGAGGAACCGTTACACCAACTGCTGGTCCCAGCTCCTTGCCGTTCCAAACCCTTCTCGCTTCTCCCCCCTGACGGCCCCATCTTGGTTTAGGCCTTCTCCCTGCCTCCTCGACTCCTGCCCCTGACGGTTGATGCTTCCCACAGCGGCATAGCATTCTGAGCCGGAAACCCACTCATGTCCCTCCCTGCTCAAACACCTGCTGTGGCTCCCTATTGCCTTCAGGACAGAGCTCAATCCCTTATTCTCTTAGTTTTTGTTTCGTTTTGTTTGGAGAGATGGTTGTTATAGGGCACACACACGTGCTTGCCAGAGAGACAGAGACAGAGAGACAGAGACAGAAAGCGAGAAATCAGCCCCCAGGGGGGATGGCCACGCCGCAGTCCCTTCTCCTCCATTCTCCTCTCGGGATCTTGGGCACGCACGCACACGCATCTGGTGTGAGTTTTAAGCCGCTGGGTCTGGGACTCGAACCGTGGTCAACTACGTGGGAGTCTAAGACATAACCATGATGCCATCTGCTGGTCCCCTATTCGTCCCTTAGTACAGAGAGTCAGCCCTCGCCGCCTGGCCCACCCACCTCGCAGTTTTCTGCCCTCCCGTGTCAGGAAATCTCTCCAAACGTCATTTTCCCCAGGGCAGGCAAGTTCTCCCCACCCTGTTCCCACGAACCAAGACATGCCCTTCCGACTGGAAGTTCCCTTCTCCTGGAAGTCTTGCCAACCCTAGAGGTGATCTGGGGACTTTCTTGGGGCTGACAATAGCACATTCTCATTGCCACCCCAGGTGGTCACCACGGTCACTTGGTCGCGGGGCTCACATCCCCATGAGACTGGAGCCACGTCTGCCAGCCATGGAGGTCCCCCAAGGCAGCACTTAGTGTCTGCTTGGCCGAGGCTGTGGACCCTGCCTGGCCTCCTCTCCGCCTGGCCTCCTCCCAGCTTGGCCTCCTCCCTGCCTGGCCTCCTCCCCGCCTCCGGGCTCACTCTCACCTGTTGCACGAGGTCCTGGGCCCCAAACACCACGCTGCGAGTCCCCAGGAAACCGAATGGCGCTGCCAGCTGCCCCAGGCGCCCCCGGGCCCGCTCAGCCTCCCGGTAGCAGGTGCGCATCAGCTCCGGGTCCCACGGCATCTCCCCGAATGAGTACACCTGCGCTCCAGCGGCACACAGGTGGGAAACCGTCAGCCGGCAGGAAAGCGGGGAGGAGGAGCCCACAGCCAACCCACCGCGGGAGAAACACAAATAAAAACATTGCCCAGGAGGACCAGCAAGTGGTGTAATGGTTAAGTCGCTAGACACCCACGTAGTGTGTCTAAGGTTCAAGTCCCAGAGCCGACAACTTGTTAGAACTTCACCAGGGAATATGAGCACTCAAGATCCCGACAGGAGGAGAGGCTGTGGATCCCCCTGGGGATGATTTTTTGTTTTCTGTCTTTCTATCTCTGTCTCTCCACCAAGTGCACACCTCCTATGGCAACAACAACAACAAAATTGCTCAGAAGGACTGGCAGGTGGCATGATGGTTAAAGGTGCTGGATTCCCACATGGCCAACCATGGTTCAAGTCCCGGACCTGGCGACTTGCTTTCTCACTTTCTCGCTGTCTCTCCCACTCTGCCCCTCTCTAGTCAAATTGAAATAAACAAAGGGGGGTTAGCAGATGGCTTGCTGGTTAAAGGTGCTGGGTTCCCACATGGCTGACTGCAGTTCAAGTCCCAGACCTGGTGGCTTCTTTTGTTGCTTTCCCTTTCTCTCTCCCTCTCTCTGTCTATTCAAATTTAAAAAAATAACAATAATAAATGGAATTAAGTAAATAAAGAATTCTTTTTTTTTTTAGAGGTTTTTGCTATAGGGTGCGTGCGCTCGCCAGACAGAGAGAGAGAGACAGAGAGACAGAAAGCAAGAAATCACCCCCCAGGGGGATGGTCACACCACAATCCCTTCTCCTCCATTCTCCTCTAGGGATCTTGGACATGCACGCACACGCGCCCGGCGTGAGTTTAAGCCACCGGGTCCGGGACACGAACCGCGGTCGACTACGTGGGAGTCCAGCGACAGAGCCATTACGCTAACTGCTGGTTCCTTTATTTATTTATTTTTAATTTGACCAGAGAGAGACACAGAGAGAGAGAGGGGAAAGTGAGAAAGCAAGCCCCCAGGTCTGGGACTCGAACCGTGGTGAGCCATGTGGGAGTGTCCAGCGCCTTAACCACCACGCCACCTGCTGGTCCCCAATAAATAACTCTTTTTTTAAAAGTTGAATTAAATAAATAAATAAAGTGAAATTCTTTTATTTCACTTTATTTATTTATTTATTTCATTTTGACCAGAGAGGGACTGAGTGAGAGAAAGAGAAAGGAGAGTGAGAAAGCAAGCCGCCAGGTCCAGGACTCGAACCACAGTTGGCCATGTGGGAGTCCAGCGCCCTTAACCACTATGCCACTTGCTGGCCCCAAATAATTTTTTTTTAAAAAAAGAAGAAAGATACAAGGTTTACTCAAGTCTGTAAATGGCGTGTTACCCACCGGTCCACTGACCCGCCCGCCCCCCGCCGAAGGGCACCTCCTTGCGTAGCCGAGGTCCAGAGGGGTTCCCCCGCAGGTGGCGGGACAGGCGGTCCATGCCCTGGTCAAGAAGGGTCCGCACCCCTTCCAGTGGGGCTTCCACGGTGCTCAGCAGAATCCGCGTGATCCGGGGCAGCTGTGGGTCCACATCGCGGCGCAGGCGCGGCTCCAGCGAATCCTGGACCTCCGCTGGGAGTGAAAGACACCGGCCTTGGGTCCCCTCCTCAAAATGACCCCAAATAGACGGCTAGGTGAGGACCCTGAGCCCGGCAGAACGAGGTAGAGGAGAAAGGTGGGGCATCCTTTTCTTTTTTCCTTTTTTTTCCTTTTTTTTGGAGAGGTTTTTGCCATAGGGCGCCAGCGTTCACCAAAAAGACAGAGAGACAGAAAGCGAGAAATCACCCCCGCGGGGGGATGACCACGCCACAATCCCTTCTCCTCCATTCTCCTCTCGGGATCTTGGGCACGCACGCACATGCGCCCAGCGTGAGTTTAAGCCACCGGGTCCGGGACTTGAACCACGGTCGACTACATGGGAGTCCAGTGACATAGCCATGACGCCAACTGCTGGTCCCTCTGCCCATTTTAGAGATGAGAAAACTGATGTTTAGAGTGGTGAGAAACAGGTCAAAGGGGGGGCCAGTAGGTGGCGTGGCAATTGAGGCACTGGACTCCCACATAGTTTGGTTCAAATCCCGGACCTGGTGGCTTGATTTCTAACTCTCTCTCTCTCTTTCTCTAGTGAGTACATGTGCCCTATAGCATAGTAAATTAATTAAAATAAAAATTTAAAGATGGTTAAGAGGGACCAACAGATGGGTTAATGGTACGTCGTTTGACTCCCACATATTTGACCACGGTTCAAGTCCTGGACCCAGTAGCTTGAAACTCACGCTGGGTGTATGTGCGTGCGCGCCCAAAATCCTGAGAGGAGACTGGAGAAAAAGGGATTGCAGCGTGGCCATCTCCCCTGGGGGGTCATTTCTTGTTCCCTATCTCTGTCTATTTCTGTCTCTCTGGTGACAACACGTGCCCTATAGCCAAAACTCTTTCTCTCAAAAAAAAAAAAAAGAGGTTAAGATGGCAATTATAATGATACATAAATAAATATACATGAATATATATATGAAATAAGTCAAAAGATCACAAAAAGAGAGGCAGACATAGAATTTAAATTCGGGGGACCAGCAGGTGGTGTAGCAATTATGTTGCTGGACTCCCACGTGGCCAATGCAGTTCAAGTCCCAGACCTGGTGGCTTGAAAATAACGCCAGGCATGTGTCCAGTATTTTTTTTTAAGAATTATTTTATTTAACTTTATTTATTTATCTACTTTTATTTGACCAGAGAGGGAGAAAGTGAGAAAACAAGCCACCAGGTCCGGGACTTGAACCGTGTTCAGCCACTTGGGAGTCCAACGCCCTCAACCACCACGCCACTTGCCAGCCCCGGGAGTCCAGCATCTTAACCACCACGCCACCTGCTGGTCCCATCTCGTTTCTTTAGTTACATCCTCTGCCCTTCACTCCCACCCAAGCCACGCCCATTCTCAGTTTAGGCCACGCCCAATCTCCTCCCACCAACCCCACCCTATCATTTTTCCGCTCTCCCCCTCCGGGACCTCCCCTGGACCTTAGGCCCCGCCCCCTATGCCCACCTATCGCTGCTCTCCTCCGTCCCCTGGCTCCGCCCCGCCGACTAAGGCCCCGCCCCTTCCAGGCCCCGCCCCCGGGCCTTCCCCCGCAGCCTCCCTGCCACGCGCTCCCGCAGCCTCAGTATCTGGTCCACGTCGGGGCGGATCGTCCTCTCCAGCTTCTCCAGCAGTTCGTCCTTTTCGGGTTGGAAGGCGCGGAGCCCGGCAGAGACCCCAGCTAGGACGGTGGCGTGGACTGCGTCCAGGAGCTGTGCCAACCGGCGGAGGGGACCGCATACGGGACGCGGGATGGGGCGTCAGGGGGCAGAGAGACAGAGACAGAGACGTGGAAAGATGCACGAGAGTTTAAGCATGAGTCATGGGGAAGGGGAATCTGGGCCCAGGCTGGGCCCCTTCCCTAGTCCAGACTCCCCTCGGACCTCGGTCCAGGCCCAGGCCTTGGCGCGGCTGGTCCCCCGCAGGCCGGGCAGGGTCTCGGCTCGCAGGGCCGGCAGCAGCTCCCGCATCAGCACCGCGGTCAGCACCTGCAGGAGAGAGGGCCTTGGGCTTCGCGGCCAGCGCATGGGGAGGACCTGGAGGTCCAGGGTGCAGCCATGCGGGGTACTGACCTCAGCGTCTGAGCCCAGATTCACATCATCGTCGCCAAAATGACCTTGGCGCTGCCGGTAGAGCCTGACCGCGTCCAGAAAGGCCCGGGCAGCAGGGGCCTGGCTTCTCTGCAGGACTGAGAGGGCAGGTCCTCAGTGCTCGCCCTCCTCTCCCCTGCACGGCTTCCCAGGCTTCTGCCTGGCGGCGCTCTGAGGACCCAAGGCTCACCCCACCCTGCAGACCTTCGCCCAAGAGTTGTCCTCCGTGGGGAGCACATTCCTTTGGGCCCAACACAAGCCCAAATGTATTGGATTTAAGAAAAAGACCTCCCTGTGGGCACCAGCCGATGGCGTAATGGTTACATCTCTGGACTCCCACTTAGTAGAACATGGTTCGAGTTCCAGACTCGGCACCTTAAAACTATCACCGGGCACGCGTGCGTACATGCCCCAAATCTCAAGAGGAGAACGCAGGAGAAGGGATTGCGGTGTGGCCATCCCTCCCAGGGGGTGATGTCTCACTTTCTCTCTCTCAGTCTCTCCAGTGAGCTCACATGCTCTATTGCAAAAAAAGGAACCCCCTATGGGCAGTGACAGCTTCCTAACTGCAGTCCCTAGCGACCTCTTCAGGTGGGATATATTTGTGCAGTCAACAACCTGCCCAGTCCTTGAACATGTCAATATTGTTCACCTTCTCCATTAGACCAATCTTCCCCCCACACTTTTTTTTCTTAGGATTTTGCCATAAGGCACAAGTGTACACAGGAGAGAGACAGAGAGACAGAAAGCGAGAAATCACCCCCCCAGGGGGGATGGTCACGCCACAATCCCTTCTCCTCCATTCTCCTCTCGGGATCTTGGGCACGCACGCACACGCGCCCGGCGTGAGTTTAAGCCACCGGGTCCGGGACTCGAACTTCGGTCGACTACATAGGAGTCCAGCGACATAGCCACTATGTGCTAACTGCTGGTTCCCCCAACAACTTTTTTAAAAAAATTTTTTTAGAGAGATTTTGCTATAGGGCATGTGTGCTCACCAGAGAAAGGGAAAGTGAAAAATCACTCCCCAGGGAGGTTGACCACACTGCAACCCCTTCTCCTCCATTCTCAAAGAATTATATTATTTCATTTTATTCATTATTATTATTATTATTATTATCTAACTTGACCAGAGAGAGACAGAGAGAAAGAGGGAGAGCAAGCCACCAAGCCCGGGACTCGAACCGTGGTCAGCCATATGGGAATCCAGCACCTTAACCACCATGCCACCTGCTGGCCCCTCTTCTCCTCCATTCTCCTCCTGAGATCTTGGGCATGCACACACATGCGCGCAGTGTGAGTTTCAAGCCACCAGGTTCAGGATTCGAACCACGGTCAACCATGTGGAAGTCCAGCACCTTAGCCACTGTGCCACCTGCTGGCCCCCAGCAACCCATTTTATGAACGAGAAAACTGAAGCTTGGGGAAGTCTCACAGTCTTGGACTCCAGACTCCAAGACTCGTCGCCCCTGGCGAACCCGTGCTGGGATTCACCTGTGCCCCGAAGACGGATGCCACCCTGCAGGGCCAGTCGCCAGGCACGCTGAGCCTCTCTGGTGGCTGCGGATAAACAGAGGTGCTGTCGGAAGGGGTGCTGCAGGAACAGGGGGAAGCTCACGGCCACTTCCCAGAGCGGGTCAGACTCTTCCTGTGCACGGTCTCCTGAAAGCAGATAGAAAAGTCACAGCTTTGCTGCAGCAGGTGGCATAGTGGTTAAGGCGCTGGACTCCCACATGGCAGACCACGGTTCGAGTCCTGGACTTGGCAATTTGCTTTCCCCCTCTCTCTGTCTTTCTCTCTGTTGCTCTGTGATCAAATTCAAGAAGAGAAAAAATGACGGTGATGAATAAAATTCCATAAAATGATTCTTTCAATAAAAGTCAGAGGCCGGGAGGTGATGTGGTGGTTAAGGCACTGGACTCCCACATGGCCAACTGCGGTTCGAATCCTGGACCTAGCAGTTTGCTTTCTCGCTTACCCTTTCTCTTTCTTTGGTCTAATTAAATAATATAAATAAATAATAATAATAATAAATGGACTTAAATAAACAATTAATTTTTTTCTTTTTTGGAGAGGTTTTTGCTATAGGGCACATGCACTCGCCAGAAAGACGGAGAGAGACAGAGAGACAGAAAGTGAGAAATCACCCCCCAGGGGGGATGGCCACGCCGCAATCCCTTCTCCTCCATTCTCCT